GGTCATTGTCCTGCTGGAAGACCCATGACCTCTGGTGGAGACGCAGCTTTCTGACACTGGCCAATACGCTGCGCCCCAAAATTCTTTGGTAATTCATCAGATTTCATGATTCCATTCACACAGTCAAGGCATCCAGTGCCAGAAGCAGCAAAGCAAAACATCTTCGAACCTCCACCATGTTTGACTGTAGGGACTGTGTTCTTTTCTTTGAAGGCCTCATTTCTTTTTCTGTAAACAGTCCCATGATGTCCTTGACCAAAAAGCTCTACTTTTGTCTCATCTGTCCACAGGACATTCTCCCAGAAGGATTGTGGTTTGTCACATAAGTTTTGGCATACTCCGGTCTTGCTTTTGTATGCCTTTGTGTCAGCAGTGGTGTCCTCCTGGGTCTCCTACCATAGCGTCCCTTTTCATTCAGATGGCGATGGATAGTGTGAGCTGACACTGTTGTACCCTGTATCTGCAGATCATCTTGAATTTATTTGGAAGTTAATCCATTTGAACAACCCTTCCTTGTAATTTTTCACTAATTTTGCTCTCCCATCTACATCCAGGGAGGTTAGCTACAGTGCCATAGGCTGTAAACCTCTTGATGATATTGCACACAGTGGACACAGAAACATTAAGATCTCTGGAGATGGACTTGTAGCCTTGAGATTGTCAATGTTTTTCCACAATTTTTTCTCTCAAATCAACAGACAACTCTTTACACTTCATTCTTTTCTCCATGCTCAGTGTCACACACAACACAAAGGTTGAGTCAACGTTTCTCCACCTTAACTGGTTGAAAGTGTGATTACTATATTGTCCACATCTCTTACTTGTGACAGGTGTGTCTAAATACAAATTAAAGGAGCATCACATGCTTGAAAAGCCATTATTTCTTACAATTTAGACAGGGTGCCAATAATTTTGGCCACTGCATTTATGGGTTTCTGTGTAGGATTGTATCAGATTCAACTTTTCTTCTGTTTTTTGTGGGGGGTTTGGCGTTGTTCCAACACAAACCAAAGAAATGAACATGTGAGTACCAAAACATTTGCAACTGCAACAGTTTTCTGAGAGAAGGGTTGCACTTTCTGACAGAATTGCAAGGATGCCAATATTTTTGGCCATGACTGTAACCAATAGGATTCTTACCACTAAGTCGCATAGCTACTATTTTTATCGTTCACCATTGGTCCACTCTCTCCTGGCATGTTGAGAATGCCAGGTCTAATGTGTGACCCACCATGTGGGTAGGACTGTTGACAAATTGGGACATGTCCAAGGAAACCATGGTTTCCAAGAACTCAGGAGCTTAGCCTGCGGCCCCAACCTCAGCATGGACATTGAAGTCACCCAGGACAATCAGTTTGGGGGAATCTCAGTGCTGCCACCGAGATGAAGTCCACCAGCTCTGGAAAGGAAAGTGCTGGATCGCAGGGAGCATGGTAAACCAGCACCATCCCAGGTCCCCACCGACACATGAATGTCCTCAAGGTCTGGGATGCTCAAGGTAGAGAGCCTAACAACCTCTGAAGAGTTTTTATAAACAATAGCAACTCCCCCTCCCCAACCCTCCAGTCTACCTTGGTGTTGGATGGAATATCCAGGTGGGCAAATTAATGCACCCACCAGGTCTCAGTAATACAAGCCAGATCTACTATTTTGTCCAAGATCAAGTCTTGAATTAACTGGGCCTTATTTAAAGCATATTAAGGCATTTAACAGCATCAAGGATAGATGCCGGACCCTCCTCATGTCCACCTGTGCAGGGGCATTTGCATTTGTATACGAATACCCCCATCTCTGGTTTTAATATAATGCTTGTCTTTAATCTAACTCATATGTTTTAAGTTAGTTACTTAATATTATAATATTTCATACTTGCATCTCTTTTTAATTCATATCCCAAACCAACATAGATGCCGAACTAAGAGAAAGATGAAGCAATTTGCCTCTAGCTGCGTGCTGAAATATTTCTCTCTGTTCTTTCTTCCCAAAGAATTCAGTAAAGAATTGACTCCGTAGGGACAGTTCTACCCTTTGCATATAGACACCGGCCAGAAAGTGTGAAGCGAAGACCTGAAAAAATGGGGTGGCTACTGGGGAATCTTTGTGGATTAAGGTACTGGAGAAATAGGAATCCATCCTTGCACCAGTTCCCTGATGAACCAGGATTCAACGTCAATTAATTACCTTGGCAAACAGTGGATTTCCATTAAGAGATTCTGCTCTTCTGATGTTTTCAACACCACACTGGAGAAAGAGAGAGGAAGAGACTAGTTAAAGACAAGGTAATCCACCTCCTTGGTTTTGGCCCTACATGAAATACTTCTCTGTCAAGGAAGAACCGGGCAGCAGTTAAGACTGAAGGCGTTAGAAAAGGGCTCAATGAATTTGTGACTCACACTGGAGGAAAGTTGGTTTCCTACAGGTTGCTCCCATGCTGCTGCAACTTTCAGAGCATTAAGAACCTTTCTGCAAACAGGAGATTGTCAAGAGACTGGATAGGTGGGGAAAGGCAAAACGATGTACAGTGGTGCCTCGCATTACGACGTTAATTCGTTCCAGCGAAATTGCTGCAGAACGAAAACGTCGTAATGCGAAAATAAAAAGCCCATTGAAACGCACTGAAACCCCTTCAATGCGTTCCAATGGGCTGGAAACTACCGTCCAACGAAGATCCTCCATAGGGCGGCCATTTTCGGTGCCTGTGCAGCGAGGAATCCGTCCCAGAAAACAGCGGGGAGCCATTTTATTTACCCGGCGGCAATTTTGAAAGCACCGATCAGCTGTCCGTAAATCGTCGTTTTGCAAAGAATCGGTTCCGGAAGAAGGGAACTGATCATCGCAAAGCGAAACAAGACCATTCAGTGCAACTTTCAGAGCATTAAGAACCTTTCTGCAAACAGGAGATTGTCAAGAGACTGGATCGGTGGGGAAGAGCAAAACCATGGATTTAAATGGCACCAACAGTTTGTCTACTCCACATGCTCCATTTTTGTTAAATGGGGCTAAGTATTTCTAATTTTCTATAACCCACACTAGATATTTAGTGGTCATGTCTGACCAGCAGCACATCAATGAAAAGGTTGCTTCTCTACACTGGCTGTTTAATGTCAGTCTCCATTGCCTGCTACTCCATCTTCTGGAGGAAAAAGGCAGGAAATGTGACACCAGTGCTACATGTCACAAATTCTCAATTTATCTTTCATACATTGCAGCGTTGGCCAAAACCCTACTGGGATTTTGCACCAGGATAATGGAAAACCCTAACATCTGGAGGCAAATCGCTTTAAGTTTAAGAAATCATGATGGGCATTATCTGTTGCACACAGAGTAACACAACTCAGCACTGAGAGACAAGGTCTGTGGTGAGTTCTTAATTTAGGGCAATTCACCTCCTCCAAAGGATTCTGGCTGTTGTGTTGCACATTCATCCCAGAGTGCAGGACACGCAACAATGGGCTCAAGTTAAAGGAAGCCAGATATCAGTTGAGTATCAGGAAAAACCTCCCAACTGTAAGAGCAGTACGACAGTGGAACCAGTTAACTTGAGAGTCGGTGAGTGCTCCAACACTGGAGACATTCAAGAAAAACTTAGATAATCACCTGGCAGATATGCTTTGATTGTATTCCTGCACTGAGCAGGGGGTTGGACTTGATGGCCTTGTAGGCCCCTGACAACTTCACTTCTCTAGGATTCTATGCTAACTTGGGTCCTTTTAAGGAGAAAGGTGGGGTTAAAATATTTTAAGCAAATAAATAATAAATTAACTTTTGAAAAGAATGTAGGGAGTTGGTCTCGGATGAAAGACAGAATATAAATACATTAGAACATACAACCTGGGCATTTACTCTGAAGTAAATATCACCCAGTTCAGTGTCTGCTTGCTTCCCACCAAGACAGCCTTCTTAAACGTGATGCCATTGGCCATGATGAGTGAGGATGATGGGAAATGTGCCTGAAAGCCACTAGGCAAGGGCAAAGGCTGTAACCTGGAGATGCAGTCTTCAGTCACCAGCTTTTCACCACCCCCTGCTCAAGGTGTCATTGCAGCAGAACAGCTAATGCTTTTACCTCATTGGCTAAGACCTGGGCATATTCAATGTCCAACTCATACAGTGTTTCAATGTGGTCACTAGTAAATGCTATTGGAACCAACAAGATGTTTTTCTTTCCTCTCTCACAAAGGCCTTTGATGGTCTCATCTGTCTGAGGGCCCAACCAGGGCATCGGGCCAACCTACGGAAAAAAAGAAAAGAAAAAAAGGCAAAAGTAAAGAAAAGCATGAACATTTTGGGGCTATTTCTACAATGCCATCAGTCAAGAGACACAGGCTTTTATAGCAAAAAAGAGTTTCTTAGAAGATAGACAACAAGGAAAGGCAACTAGGATAGGAAGGAAGAGGCAAAAGTTGCCATCGGTCAAAAATGAGTGGTTGTTTTGACCAGATAGGCGGAGTACAAATAGAATGAATGAATGAATGAATGAATGAATGAATGAATGAATGAATGAATGAATGAATGAATGAATGAATGAATGAACCTGCAGCAGCACTACTAAAATGAAAAACGGCACCAGGTGCCTAGCAGAGGACAGACCCGTATCTTTGAAGGCCCAACTCCATTCACAGGGAAAGTTAAAATATCAAGGGGGACACACTCCTACTTTTTGCCTTCATTCTAACATACTATGTTTTCTCATGCAAGGTATTTGGGTACATAGAATAAAACAGAAACATTCCCCCATGCTCATGTCTCCTCCTTGTGCAGTGCAACAATTCCCAACTTTGGGTAACCCAAGTGTTCTTGGGTTGCAACTTCCAGAAACCTTTGACATAGCTGTTCAGGCCAGGGTTTCAGAAGAAGAACATAGAAGTATAGTGACAGGGAACTGTACCATGCAATCTTCTTGAATGTTTTAATTGGTTCTTAAAATGCAATACTTAAGCCTCTGCCTTTGTTATGTGTGATGCATGGCACCTAGAACTTATTTTGCAACAGACACAGTTAACAGCAAGCATGGCTGGGGCAAAGAGAACACATACAAAGTTGCAGCACCTGGCTATGGAATAAAACCTAACCTGAATATAAGACCTAGTAGGATTTTTCAGGATGCTCGTAATATAAGCCCCACCCCAAAAATAAGCCCCAGTTAAATGAAACCCCGCCCTCCACCCTTGTGCAGCAATCAGAAGATTTCATGACTGTATTTGAATAAGTGTAGATTGTTGTCCATGGAAAAAAAATAAAACATCCCCTGAAAATAAGCCCTAATTTCATTTTGGAGCAAAAATTAATATAAGACCCTGTCTTATTTTCAGGGAAACACAGTACCTTGGATTGCCAAACAAGTCTATATGGGTTGGAATAGTTGAGCTTCTCCATAACTCTTTGAACAGTTGCTCCCACCTCTTGAGGATATGGATCGCCACGATTAACTACCTGTTGCAGAAAAAAAAATTAAAACTATTAATTTTGAATCTGTTAAATTTTCAAAATAGAAATTCTGTTGGATTAAAATAAACACCATAAAACTTTTCCGATGCCAGGATACATGCAAAAATTAGTCCACATTTACAAAAACACCTACAGATCAAAGGATTCCCCCTAACTGTCTTAATTATGGAACGTTTTCATACTGCCTTTTAAGTCAAAATCTGATCAAGGCCCATTATAAGGTGGAACTGTAAAACGATGGCCAAAATCCTGCTGCTTAGTATAGTAAACTGTACTATGAGAAGAGGCCTACTCAATCAACTTGAGTTGGTGAATCATTTTTAAGTCAAAATCTGATCAAGGCCCATTATAAGGTGGAACTGTAAAACGATGGCCAAAATCCTGCTGCTTAGTGTAGTAAACTGTACTATGAGAAGAGGCGTACTCAATCAACTTGAGTTGGTGAATCAACTCCATAAGTTCAATTTATTCAAATAAGCCCACTCTAAATGCTACTTGTTTTAGCATATTAAGTCAAAACTAGAGCAGCCCCATTTGAATCAGCGGCACTTAAAAAGGAGGAGCTGAGTCACCAAATCCCCACTAATTCAATGGGTCTACTCCAGAGCAATCTACTGTGCTATGCAACAAGATTTTGGCCACTAAAACATAATTACTTAAACAGTATCATAAAACATTTAAAACAGCAAACAGTAAAAGCTCCTATTTATGACATAAAGATTGCATCCAGGTATTAAAATGCAGCCTCGAACATTCATGTCTTTAAGGCCTGTTTTAAAAAAATGTGAGAAAAAACATGGCTTTTTCTATAAGGGCTATATACTATTTTTGGGAATGCCAACAGGAATATTGATTTCACATGTTATTCCTGTGTCAAGATTCTGTATCTGCCTATCCTCATCCCATTACACTCATTCCTTAAGACAGGTATCTGTTCCTTTATAAGGAGTCTCAAACGCCCAGATCTTACAGGAGGCTGCAGGGCCTTCTGTAAAGAATGAGGAGACCACAGAAAAGGTGAGTGAGAATGTTGGTCTTGCATGTTAGTCCATGAAGAGTGGAAAAATCTAGAAGGCACTAACACATCTGTAAAACTGCAGGAGTAAAAAAAGTGGGGAGTTCCTTACCTAGCACCAGAAAGAATGCAATACAAGGGCCAGGCAAACCTCTCTGAAAAAGCACCACTGAAAACACTATAACCAATAATGGACTCAAAGCTCATTGGCAGGCCCTGCCCTACCATTAAACAAAGGGCATCCACAGTTTTGGGCTGTTGATGGTGGAAAGCAATGGCAAGATACAGGAGGAGAGAGCTGTGTGCCACGTGGCAACCCCTAGGCAACCTGCCAAGCTAGCTTGCCTAGCATAGTAGAAGACGTTTCCCCCTTTGCCAAAGAAAGAGACACGGGCCAGTTCCGACACATGCCATATGTATGACAGAGCGTCCTCCTGTTCTTCACTTCAGGCAGCAGAATACCTTGGGCCTCTTTCAGTAAGCTGTTTGAATTTTGGCCATTTTAAACAACAATCTCTCTCTTTTTTTAATGTCCTAAGGGAGGACATTTATGCATTTGGAGCTGTGTGTCACCGAGATATCCCACTGCCATCAGTAACAACTGGACAAAAATTGTCAAGGGGAACCAGTAACAAAAGGAGCTCAATACATACTGAGAAAACAGGTGACTTCTCACAGTGCAAAGCATCTGCATTCAGGGTTCTAGCTAGTCAGCTGCTCTGTTCCATTTCTCAACCTTATGGGGTTTCCACCCTCCTTTCCCTTTTAACTAGCCCCTGAGCAGAGGTCTGGTGTGGAGGTCTTCTCCTTTAATTTTATTTCTAAAAGCTGGGGTGGAGAGGCTGATGCTTCTCCAAAATGTAGCACTCCCATCAATATATTCATACCTCCCTTCAGTGTACAGATGATGCAACCTGCCGTTTATAAAGATCAAGAGTCACTCTGAACGTGGGATATAAGGTAATTTTAAACTCAGTGTAAGTCTATAGGGGAGTTTAACACAAAGCATTTTCAGTGTGGTATTTGCCAAGGGATAGTAAGAACAATTTAACCTTCTTTATCGTCTTGATTTTCCCCCTTCAAACTACAAACTTATCTGTGTTTTTCTGTATACTGTAATATATATCTTTTTTTTTTGCTGATCTTGAGAACCACTAGATGGCACCAAATTTCTATAAACAGCAAAATTATTCTGATATGCTTGGGAGAGGAGGAAGGGGGGGAAATACCCAGGACATTTCTGAGATTGCCCCATTCCTTTTGGAGAACAAATTACGATCAGCATATCTCTTGCACTTAGACAAGCTGTTTTATGAAAATACTATTGGAAAACTTTATAATCAGCAAGGCAGCCCCAGAAGAAGGGAGTGGTATCCCACGTCCAAAGTATAACAATGTGCTAAGTGACAGCTTTTCCATTTATCTGTCCTGAACCCCATTCAACTTCAGTAGATGACCTTGGGCTGGCAGAAGGGGGGGGAGAGACGATTAGCTTTATCCAGTCCACTCACTGCCGTCTAGCAGCCCCAAGACCTGGATGGGGATTTACCATTTACACTGTAGTCATCTTCTCCATTTCTTTACTAGGAGTTACTTTTACAGTTACTTTTACAGTTACTTTTGCAATGTGCTCTCTCTCTGACTATTGTGGAAGCTTCCTGTTTTATTTAGCTAACAGGTCTTGACTACTACATCAAAGGTCCAGACTCAGAAACCCTACTGAGGCATTTACTTAACCATATTGATCTAACACTGATTGTCCTGGGGGAGGTGGACAGTATCCACATATACAGGAACCTCTCCTTCTAAGAGTTGCTGTTTTCCATGATAATGATGGAGTAGGTGTCCCCTCTGGGGACGTGGTGGCGCTGTGGGCTAAACCACAGAAGCCTGTGCTGCAGGGTCAGAAGATCCGGCAGTCATAAGATCGAATCCACGCAACGGAATGAGCACCCGTCGCTTGTCCCAGCTCCCACCAACCTAGCCGTTCGAAAGCATGCAAATGCAAGTAGATAAATAGGGACCACCTCGGTGGGAAGGTAAACAGCGTTCCGTGTCTAAATCACACTGGCCATGTGACCACGGAAAGATTGTCTTTGGACAAACGCTGGCTCTATGGCTTGAAGAGCGGGATGAGCGCCGCCCCCTAGAGTCGGACATGACTGGACAAAAATTGTCAAGGGGAACCTTTACCTTTACCTTTAGGTGTCCCCTCTTTGCATGCTGGGTCAACAAGCCCAGTAGGTCTGGGTTTGTCACAGCTGGATCAACAAAGTAAGTAATGGTTGAATACGGTTCGAACTGCTTTTAAACAACCAATGGCAGATTACTTTTTGGGGGCACAGCAAGACAAACAGGTGAACAGATTGAAGCCAAGCTATATTCCATTACAATATCAAAGCCAGCATGGTGCAGTGCGTAGAGTGACAGACCAAGATCAGGAGACCTGGGTTCAAATCACTGCTTGGCCATGGGGAGTAGCAAAAAGTAAAACAACTCCTTAAATAGCTCAAACATCTTCTAAACCCTATTAGCATTGCCATAAGTCAGATGCAACTTGATTGCCCAGAACAGCAAAATTTTTAAAATGGGAAGAGATTTTAGGGAGAGGGCTAGAGAGCGTGGGGGGCAGACAGACAGAGAGACAGAAAGAAAGACAGAAGACTCTTTTAACAAGAAGACAATTAACGATTTCAGAAATGGATTGCCATTTACTCACAGACATTGGTAGAGAGTGAGCAGAAAAAAGAATAACAACATCTTTCCTTCGATCAGGTGGGAAAAGGGACAGCTCCTTCTGTATGTGGTCTGCAAAGCACTGAAAGCACGGGTTAAAAAAAGAGAGAAAGAGAGGGTTAACTCCCATGGGCTAAATCCAGCATTAGTCCAGTTAACATGCATGGGATGTCAGTCACAACCACCATGATTCCAATTGTTCTGCTTAAGTAGAACTAATGAAACTCCATCTTCCCCAAGGTATCATGCTCAAATAAGGCAAAAATTTCAGTATACAAATATGTTCCTTTATATATAAAAAGTCCTTGTCTATACTGATAGGTAATGCTCCTCCACGGTTGATTTATTTCATAATTTATTTATTTCATACATTTCTATACCTCTGACTTAGTGCTAAGGATTACTCTAAGTGGTTTACAAAGAGAGTAAAAGACAACAAACAATAAGTTTTAAAAAATAATAAACCCATTCCTCACACACCAACATTAGACATCAACAAGTAAACATAGACCGTAAATTAACAATTTCAAAATCCCAAAGATGGTGGAAAGGAAAAAGTTGTGAGCCTAGAGGAGAATATCACTAAATGCCTCTTGAAAAAGGACTGCTTTCAGCATCCTTTTAAAAGATGATAGAAAGGGGACGGATAGGCACTGGGAACCTATTGCAAAGGAAAGGGTCCGTGACCAAGACGTCGCAATTTGTGGTGGCCGTCTTCTGCCTTTCTCGAAGAAGTGAAGCCTGTTAAGAATGGGTGATATGGATTGGTGTTCCTAAGGAAAGATAGTCCGATGAATAAGTTTCTAAGAGGGTTCCTCTTCATCCCACCAAGACTTCACATACACAAAAGCACACACCCTGTCTCTAAGCTATAGTCTGTTTCTCTTTTCACTGCCTGTAACACTTGATTCTATTGCCTGGTGAAATCTGGTAAAGGCTGAGGAGGACTTTGAAGGGGAAAGGGTAGTGCAAGGCATATGGGGGGGAAAAAGCCAATTGTTCTAACCAACAGGTCACAGAATCCACTGTTTTCTGCTGCAGATTTGGACTGACTGTGGTCTAAATCAGTGGTTCTTAACCTTGGGTTACTCAGGTGTTTTTGGACTGCAACTCCCAGAAGCCTTCACCACCAGCTGTGCTGGCTGGGGTTTCTGGGAGTTGCAGTCCAAAAACATCCAAGTAACAAAGGTTAAGAACCACTGGTCTAAATTAGTCCTTTTAAGAACACTGAATACCGGATATACCATACAGCTGACTTCTTGACAACAAATTTGTCTCAGGAAAGAGCCTCAGCAAGACAGAGGGGGCTGAGAGAGTCTGAAATGTGTAGACCCCCCCCCAAAAAAGCCACTCTTCAAAGCTGTGGTCATAGAATCAGAACAATGGCTTACAAGGCCATGGAGTCCAAATCAAAGCAGATCTCTAACAGAGGGTGGTCCAATTTTCTCTTCAATGCCTCTATCATGCGTCCAATTTTCTCTTCAATGCCTCCAGCACGCGAGTGCTCATCACCTCCTGAGCTCATGGGTTCCATTGTCATACTGCTCTAACAGTTAAAGACATTTTCCCTGCTATTCAACCTAAATCTGGTTTCCTGTAGCTTGAACCTATTGTTCAGTGTCCTTCACTTTGGGATAACTGAGAACAGATCCTGTCCCTTCCTCTGTTTGACTCCCGTTCGAGTCTTTGAGAAGAGTGCTCTCCTATTTCCTCTTCAGTCTTCTTTTCTCAAGGCTAAACAGGCCCAGTCCCATCAGTCTTTCCTCATAAGGCTTGGTTTCCAGTCCCCTGATCATCCTCAGTAGCAAAGAACACTGCTTGGTAGCCAGACGTTCCCTTGTTAAGTCAGTCCTTGGCATCTCAAAGAGAAAGGATGGAAAAAGACATCCAACTGAGTTCCTGAAAAGAGACACTGCTTTTCAGAGTAGACAACTGGGGGTGTGTGTGAGTGGGACAGATAGTCTAACTGCACAAAGGAGCTTCCCAGGTCTCATGTTCGCTGTGTTTAAGGATCCGTAGTCTTAAACCTTTTAAAAAAAAAAACCAGAATGAGACTACCAGAACTCCTTGGACTTTTCCCCATAGCTGGCATGCTGAAACCTCCTTCCAGTTTGTACAGATCAGAGAACATCTCGGATCACTCCCACCTGGGGAAAACTCTTAGAAGCGGCATTACAGCCATGGGAGAGGAGCTTCCCCGGAGAAACTTCCTAGGCTGCAAGGACTTCAGTAGCAGGTAAGATGATTCCTTGGCTGCAAATGCAAGGGATTCCTGTCCTTTTAAAAAGCCCCTTCTCTCTTATTTCCAAACCCTGACCAGAGATAAAAACAGCAGCACCTTGTTGGCTACAGGGTGGCAGGACAAACCCTTAATGTAGTGGACAGAAAGTGCGGCTTTAGACTTGGGAGACTTAAGTTCACATCCCTAACTAGTCCTGAGGATGAATCAACATTCAAGCCAGACTCAAAACAAGTTTTTCTCTCTACATTGACTAACACAGAATGGCAGAAAGGATACAATCAGAGGGCTGCCTGAAAGCAAGACTGAAGAGGAAGTGTCAATACCAGCTCCTAAGCCAACCTCCTCCATCTGGCGTACTTCAAATGTGCTACCCCCATCATCTCCAGCCAGACAGCCATGAGATATTGGGAGTACTCAGAGCTGCATGTCCGGAAGGTGCCGGGGGGGAAGACTCGCCTACTTCGTGTCTCCCTTGGCTCTCCTACAAGTCGCTTCATTTTGAAAACTTTTTAAAAGCCACACACACACAACACACCCTCTTTTCTGGCTTTGATTTCCCCCAGGGATTCCATACCTGAATGAGAAGCGGATGTGTCGGCCACCTGTCAATTGTGCTCCACTTCATCTTGGGCTTCTCCCCTTTTGTGCTGTAGTACCGATAAATAGCATTTAAACTGCTCCCTGGAATACAAAAAATTTTAAAAAAAGGTTGCAGAAAGTGGATCTACTGAGCCGATCAGAAAGACAAGAAGAAAGGCTGCTTTGTCTGAAGTCCATTGCATCCAGGTCATCAACGGTGCTATTCGCTCCCCTGGGAGACAAATACAAATATCCCACGTCTACCCAGGATCAATCCCTTGCAACTTCTTGGAAGCTGCTGCCCATAAGCATCCACCAGCCTTCCCCCAACACGGTCCCCTTGAGATGCTGCACTCTACAATCTCCCATTAAGCCCAGTCAGCTTGGTCAAGAGATGACCGAAGCCTAAAGTCACAGAGTGGGAATGGGTAAGTGTAAACACTGAAAATGGGAAAGTGCAAACAATACTGGGTCAAAAGGTCTCTGAATCAGTAGAAGACAGAGCCCTAGGCTTTCCTGTGAACTCCGTGTGATAACCCCTTCGTACCCCAAAATAACAGCAGCACAGGCTGAAGATGGACAAAACTGGTCAAGTGAGCTGCCAAAACTCAAGAGGAACTTGTTCAGAACAATTTTAATTCTAGGAACGTGTTGAATTATAGAATCGTCATAGGGTTGGAAGGGACCTTGGGAGGTCTTCTAGTCCAACCCCCTGCCCATATCATCATATCATCCCAGACCTCATATCATCCCAGACAGATAGCTGTCCAATCTTTTCTTGAAAACCTCCAGCAATGGGGCACCCACAACATCGGGAGGCAAGCTGTTTCACTGCTTAATGGTTCTCACGATCAGGAAATTCTGCCTATTTCCAGGTTGGATCTCCCTCGGATGAGTTTCCACCCATTGGTTCTTGTCCTACCCTCAGGCGCAATGGAGAATAAATCGATGCTCTCTTCCCTGTGGCAACCCTCCAGATAGTGGAAGACTGCTATCATCTCTCCCCTCACTCTTCTCTTCGTTAAGCTAAACATACCTAGTTTTTAGTCATGAGAGGCTAGCCTGGTCCTTAATACCAGCTGGACAGAGTGGAGTGTCTTTCTTTTCAACAGAGACGGCAAAAACACTTCAGCCGTACCTATAGGCAGATTCTTTGCCATCACTTCATTCACTCCAGGCTTTGAACCACAGCATTAACTGCCTCAGGGTTCACCCTCCTCGCTTTAAGCAACAAGCACATTTGGGAGCAGCCGATGAGTGTCTTTTCGAGACATGCTTACCTGTGGTGGAGCAACTATACTGTGGATATTGTGTGAAAGCGACGGCTCTCTCAACCCCGTCTTCCTCCATCTCTTCAATGGCTTCTTCCGTCAGGGGATGGACGTAGCGGAAACCAATGTAATACTTGTGAGGGGCTGGAAGGAGAAGTCAGCTGGTGAGTTACCTGCCAATTTATGAATTAAGCAGGGGAGGGAAAGTTAGAGGATCTCATGTCTTTTTCCACTTATTGTTTATTGTGCAGAACATCCACCAACCATAGTAATGGAAATTATCTAATTATCTAATAACAATTGTGCGATGTCAACTCAATTCTGATTTATGGTGACCCTTTCCAGGGTTTTCCAATAAAAGAAAATTCAGAAGTGGTTCCAAGGGCCTCCTGGGACTGGGCAGCTTGCCCAAGGCCACACAGGCTGGCTCTTCTGCGGTACACAATGGGGAATCGAACTCACAACCTCTAACTCACTGAGCTATCCAGCCAGATCTAATAATCATGTGCTGTCAAGTCAATTATGACTTATGGCAGCCCTTTTCAGGGTTTTTCAGAAAGAGACTACTCAGAAGTGGTTTACGATTCCCTTCTTTTGGACTGTGCTGCTTGCCCAAGGCTACACAGGCTGGCTCTACTCACAGGAGGCCCAGTGGGGAATTGAGCTCCCAACCCCCGGCTTCAAAGCCAGAGACCTAAACCACTGAGCTATAATCTTTACTAAAAGGCAACCAAATGTCCAAAATGATATCCATATATAGTCTGTGAGCCGTATGTTCAAATGCTGAAAGAGTTTTTAAGTCCTTTGATCCACTAAATAGTAGGAAGTGGATTCTGGAACGTTCTCAAGGAAAAGCATTCTCCTAGCTATGCATTCCAGGAATTTAGTTAAAGCTAACTGGAGAACTGCTGCACCACCTTGATTAGTAGACAGAGCATCAAGAACACAGCAAGCCCCTCGCATCTGATCAAAATATTTGCCCATCTTCAAGACTGGCATTAGGCAGAGTATCGTGGCCACCTCAGCGGCAGATAAAAGGGAAGAAAGCTGCTAGGAGATTGTTCTGTGTACCACACATCTTATTTTGAGCCATCTAAGCTACTCTGCTGCCATCAAGTATGATGGGGAATGCTGGTGGTCGTCAGTAATCAATTATGGGTCTAACTTCATTGCATAGCTATAGCATTTAGATGCCACTTTACCTCCTGTGCCTTGTGGCACAGTGATTAAACTACAGTACTGCAGTGAAGACTCTGTTCATGACCTGAGTTTGATCCTGGGCTCAGGGTGACTCAACCTTCCATCCATCTGAGGTCAGTAAACTGAGTACCCAACTCACAGGGGCGGCAGCAATTTAACTGTGTAGCTTGCATAGATAAAGATAATGGTTCCCCTTGACATTTAGTCCAGTCGTGTCCAACTCTAGGGGGTGGTGCTCATCCCCATTTCCAACCCATAGAGCCAGCGTTTGTCCAAAGACAGTTTCCGTGGTCACATGGCCAGCGCGACTAGACATGGAACACCGTTACCTTCCCACTGTGGGGGTCCCTATTTACCTACTCGCATTTACATGCTTTCGAACTGCTAGGTTGGCAGGAGCTGGGACAAGCGACGGGCGCTCACTCCGTCGCGTGGATTCGATCTTACGACTGCTGGGCTTCCAAACTTGCAGCACAGAGGCTTCTGCGGTTTAACCCGCAGCGCCACCATAAACTGTACACCACCCAGAGAGGGATATAAGCATTATGTTGGGGTATTTTAGCAGCACACTTTGCTTTCCTAAGGATCGTTGGAACATGTACTTTATGAAGGTGCTTACAATTCTCTCTTGCAGTTCAGAGGAATGCAGCTAAAGCTCTCTTGCATGCAATTCTAAGTATTTCATTCAAACGACAAACCTCAGGGTTCCTCAGGCTTCACGCTGCTATAACTATATAGCATACGTACATTCAAAATGGCAGGCTTATTGGATTTTGTAAACCAAAGGAGAGGAAGAGTGCCATCTTGTTATCCCCACCTGGTATCATGAAGCTCAGGTATCTGGCCAGGTCTATCTTTTCCAGCTGCAGTTCTTCAAAGCTTCAAGCTACGTGATCCTTTGAACTGGAAGTATCCAGAGCTTCAAGCTACAAGGTGTGGGATCTTATTTTGAGGCGTCTCCCAGGGAAACAGTGTCTCTCAGGAAAACAGCCAGGCTACGTAGCAATCCCAGAGCAGCCCCAGAAGAAAGAAATGGTAAGCTACTTGTGAGTATTCTATACCTTTAAAAAACCATGGAAAGAGTCACCCTAAGTTGCAATCAACTTGACATCATGTGATTATTTTTAATTGTGCTGCACTGTAGGGATTACTTTTGTTGATGTGATACAATGCATACAATTCAATGAACTAATCTGAAGAACTACCCTCAATAGATATCCTCAGGCGGACCACTGTATTATCATGTTTCCCCACCCTAACCAAAATGTACGGCAGGACAATCATAATCCTGGCCTACTTTTACAGGATTGCTGTGAGAATTACCAAAATAAAAATATCAAGCAAGTGCAAAAGACATTCCATTACAGCCTTATAAGTAAACTGACAAAATAATTCTACCTGGAAAAAAAAATAACTTTTGTCATAATAAGCTTGCTGGGGATAGCAGAGGCTGTAAAGAGAAATCTGTCTTTCGAATGGCCGGCTGATTTTAAATTTATTTCACTGACCTCAGAAGGAGAGAAGGCTGAGTCAACCTTGAGCAGGCTACCTGGGATAGAACCCCCGGTCATGACCACAGTCCCTTCTCTAGTAGCCAGCTAGGTTCCATTCTGGGTTATAGAGGAAGAATGGATGGGCCTGTCTTAATCATTCACCATGAAAGTCACTAGGTGACCCTGCACTGGTCACTTTTTCTCAAACTGGCCAACTTCAAAGAGCTGTTAAGAAGAAAATGTCGGGAACAAGAAAAGAATGTATGCCATGGTTGTTGTGGATTTTCCGGGCGCTTTCTCTGCTCCATGATTCCTTGGAACTTTTAATGGCAACCCTCACAGGGTTCCTTGCACCCTTGTGTTGTTGTAAGCAATCTTTGCTATTATGCAAAGGATTTGGGGAATGACTTGGTCTTGTTCCATTAAGATCCTTTTGCATTACAAAAGACCTGCTCCTATTAGGAATGAGCTCTCCTGTCCTCTGAAGATGCCGGCCACAGAGACTAACTAGTGAAACGTTAGGAAGAACAACCTTCAGAACATGGCCAAACAGCCCGAAAAACCCACAGCAACCATTAGATCCCAGCCGTGAAAGCCTTCGCGAATACAATGTATGTCATGTTGCACTCACTCAAACAAATACAGTACGCAATAATAAATAAATCTCTAGGAGCAGCAACAGCAACAGAGTAGAAAAGCAAAGGAGATGTTTTCAAGGAAGATTAGATAAATTCAGGTACCAGGCTCCTAGAGGCTCCCAGTCATAATGCCTTATGCTGCCTCTGGAGGTTCTGGAAGGGGAACACAACACTTCTGCTTTTGGATCCTAGAAAGGATGCCGAAGGGCTGTGTGGAAAGGGCCCAGAAATGAAGCATTTACTATCATTCACTTACATAATTTGAGAAAAATCTATCCACAGACAACAACTTCAGTGGCCAGCTCCCCCAGCTAAACTAAGATTTAAATGCTGCCAATTCATTTGGCTGTATTACGCCATAGAACCTTTGGGCTTTGATTCATAATGGCAAATGTCTGGTTTGTGTATTTTTCTTTGAAAGAGCTGCATTTCTCTTTAAAAGAGCGAGGAAAAGAAAAATATTACAAAAGGCCCCGACAATGAACTATGAAAGCAAAACCAAGATTGACCTGCAGAAAAGGGAAACAGAAGCAAATGATTCTGTTCTAAAATAAATCTCCCAGTGGAGGAAAATGTCCCCCATGATGGACTCAAGCCAGCCCAAGACATTTCACTGCCTGAGGCAGAGCAGCAAATACATCCAGCCTCACTCAATTCAAGATCCAAAACACTCAAGGCCAATCAAATAATTCCAAAATCTAAGGCAGGACATCTGATCTTTGTGGCAGTTAAAATAAAATATTAAAGCTGAGTAACACTTTGCTATCTTTCCTCAAATCTGCTCTCTGAGGTGAACCCCAATCTCTTGTTTAATGTTAGGGCGGGCCCTGGGCAAAGTTTTACACATGTGTGTCTGAACTTCGCTTCCCTGCATATCTCCCTAGCAAAACACATTAGCATGCAGCCATGGTAGAACACGCCTCACAGACATAATGGCAGACCAAGTTAAGATGCAAAGGATGTACAAATAGATAGTGACAGGGCAGCTTTCAGTTGGGAGACCACATTGTAAAATAAGAGGGAGTGATGAGGGCTGACAAGAGGAGATAACACTCCCTAAACCATTAACTCCGTGCTCCTGAGTCCCCGGCCCCTGAACGAGGCTAATTTTATTAAGAAGGCTATGATGTGCCTGCAGAATAAGGGACTTGTTGAGACTTATTCTTCAGATCTGTCACACTTTGGCTTCCCCGTGTCAAAGCAATAGAGATGCAAGTTCCATTCCAGCAATTCACAAATGCTTGCACCACACATTTCCAGAGCAATGATGAGAGAAGATTCAATTTAAAAGCATCATGTTTGGACCGGTATCAAAGATCTGTTGGTGGGTTTGATCTAGAGTGGGCTCCTTTGCACTTCACTAGAGACTGTGATGAATGAAGGAGGGCATAATCTGTGCATGTTAACCAGACTGTTCTTTGTTCAGCTCCACCGGACATTAAAAGCCCCCCGTGCATTTATGTTCAAGTTCAAAAAAGGAGGCTCCTCAGTCGCGTTTCTGCTTCTCTTTGTGGCCAACAAAACCCACCTGAGCAATGAACAGATGCACTGTCTTAGGCTAGTTGCTTCAGAATCTCTCCTGTCCCCCCACCCCACCCCACGCTCTCTGTCTGACAGAATCCTCCCAGTGCTGAAAATTCCCTGTGCACAAAGATAGCAGGTTTCAGCCTAGTTGAACCCCTTATCTGACAATCTAGCATTTTATTTTCCAGAAGAATATCACCACCTGCGAGTCCTTGATATCTGAATCAGCTCTGACATGCTTCTGTAAGTCACAGGCACTGAGCAGAATGCACACAGAAGCATGCGTGCAGAGTGGCGGGCGTTATTGCCAGGCAAGCCGTTACGCCTTCCTTATCTGCTTGGCTTTACTCAAAGGAAGAACCTCCTAGCTATCAGGTGGAGCCAAGGGCAGCTCCTCCGCTTAACCGCACAAGATGGGGAATAGCCCACACCAGCCAAACTGACTCGATCAGGGGTTCCCAGAACATCTTGGGCCCCAGGTGGTCTGAATCTCTCTCAAAAAAACCCCTGGCCAGGACAGCAAGGGGCGAAGGCTTCTGGGGGTTTCAGTCCAAGACCATCTGAGGACCCAAGGGTGGAAACCACTGGACTAGATAATAAGTGGTGCCTCGTGTACATTGTAAATATGCAGGTGTATGCCACTGGTTAGGGACCATGAACATATGATGCTACAACACCAGGAACAATTCCCATCATCCATTTCCACTTATGATACTGGCTAGGATTTGCAGTTCAACACAGGAGGGCCAGTAGCTCCCCATCACTTTGCAAAATGTGCCCTGGATAAAGCTTTTTTAAAAAATCAAAAAGGGCCCTTGAGTATTACAGAACTAATTTCACCATTGTTCCTGAGCTATTTTAGCTGGGAGAGTTGATGACAGAAGCCTTTCCCCCATCTCGTAAATAAAGACAGCTCAAGGGAAGTCCAAAACACAGCAAAATATACTGCACTATATTTCTACTTAGCGAATGCAAGGGACAAAATAGGAGATGGCTCTACAGCTCAATGGAACTGCATCCATTTGTTTCCATCCAAATGTTTCCATTTCAGAGTATGGTGTATGGTGGCCACCCCAGCGGCAGATAAAAGGGAAGAAAGCCCAGATAGAGAGCTATCAAAGATGCTGCCGCCATGGATTTACTATGGCAAGTCCCTTATGACTAGATAATCTCTTAAGTTGCCTTTCATGACTAGTCTCTTCACCAGGTCCTGTGCTTGAGAACTTCAGCAGGTTTCACGCCCCTGAACACAGGATTCAACTAGACAAATCTATAGTTGCATTCACGAAGGACATTTTAAAATTCTGAAAATACCACTTCAACAAATCGCACCAGCTGATTACAAGACCAAGAAACATGGAGCCTCAATTGAAGCTGATAGCGGGTGGATCCACACAGCCATGGAATCCATGCAAGCCATCAATAAAGAAAGCAAGCCTCGGGTGATGGCTTTTCTTTGGGATGAGAGCAATCACAAGACAAGCTCAGGCAGAGTTTTGACTACAACTCCCAGAATCCCCCAGCAAGTAAGATCAACAATCCAAATGGAAACTCCTCACCAGGTCCTGTGCTTGAGAACTTCGGCAGGTTTCACGCTCCTGAACACAGGATTCAACTAGACAAATCTATAGTTGCATTCACAAAGGACATTTTAAAATTCTGAAAATACCACTTCAACAAATCGCACCAGCTGATTACAAGACCAAGAAACATGGAGCCTCAATTGAAGCTGATAGCGGGTGGATCCACACAGCCATGGAATCCATGCAAGCCATCAATAAAGAAAGAAAGCCTCGGGTGTTGGCTTTTCTTTGGGATGAGAGCAATCACAAGACAAGCTCAGGCAGAGTTTTGACTACAACTCCCAGAATCTCCCAGCAAGTAAGATCAACAATCCAAATGAAAACTCTGGCCAGATCTTAAAGGGATCACCTAAACACAGTTTGAACAGTAACGAATTTACAGCTAAGATGGAAGGTTTTGGCCTTGACCAAGGCTGGTCAAGTGTGGGGGCTCCAGAGGCATTTTTGTGAACCCCTTAGTCCTCCTAGGAGTTTCTCTGTTGGGTGTTTCCATTTCAGCAGTTTTTACATCAGGACCTGGGGAGGGTTGTCTCCCCCCACAAACCCTCTCCAGAACAAAACAAAACCACAAGTTGCTATCTGAACCCTTCCTGTTTATTTATTTAACAAAAAATGGCCGACAGCTGTCATTCCCCAACAAAATATGGCCTTCAGAGCGAGCTGGAATAACAAATCCAGCCCTCAAACTCTGAAATCGCCCACCCTTGGTCTAGAACTTCCTAGCTGAAATATAAAAAACCAGGCTGGCTTAGGCTAGTATCTTCCACAGAACACTAAACTCTTTGCCTGCACCCACACCCAAAACAAGTCTTCTACTAAAACGACAACATGAAGGAGAACAACAACCATGAAAGAAAGTTCAAACAAGAAAGGTCTCAAATACCAGAATGAGGAGACATTTCGTCCAGCAGTTTCACCATGCCTTCTCCCTGAGTAGCCGTCCATTTCTTAATTGGCGATCCTCCACCAATCCGACTATATTGTTCCTGGATTTTAGGAGTGCGTCGCTTTGCAATGAAAGGTGCCAGCTTACTGAAACATTGAGGGATAGCGGTCAGGACACCAAGCCACGTCTTGCGACCTTCTCCCCCCTTAGAACTCTAAGCCAGTTTAGAACTCTAAAGACAGTGAGCTGGACCCAAGATTATCTGATTAATTAATTAACTAACTAAAATATTTCTATCTCATCTTATAACCAAAGATCTCAAAATGAGCCCCAAATGAGACAGAGCCACGAACATGAATGATGTTTGTTACTCATGTGCAGCAAACATGATTTTCACGAGGCTGCACCAGTGGGGACCAACAATGGATTTACTTCAGTGTACTGCTTAAATCAGGCCTCAGTCACTATATGTACAGAATTAGATGATCAATCCAATTCAGAAAAAGATGTGGGCCAGCCAAAGACATTTGCTGCCCGAGACTAAACTATAAATGATGCTGCCACCATTCTGGAAGTCAAAGTACATAGCATCCAAGGTTTACTAAGTTATTATGGCAGAAAATCCCAGATTACGAATATGCCATTTGTTTCTCGTTTTTGGACTCCCACTTGCAGGATTCTCCAAGAATTCTCCAGTCAGAATTCTGGGAATTTCTGTTCATAGACCGTCATAGGTTTCTTCCTTTTGCTCGCCTGGAAAAAGGCCTAGCCTTCCAACGCTCCATCAGATTCTATGCCTTCCTTTCCCGCCACAATGCTTCCTGGGAGAAAGATGCTTCAGTGCTTCTTAGGTGTGATAGTTCTTCAGCAGGCACTTTTTATAGAGCTTAAAAATGGCAACAAGACTCTGATCCTCAGGAAGCATAACAGCAGCTTCCTCCCAGGCAGCACAGTGACAGGAAATGAACCCAAAGAATCCAGTAGACCTTGCGACTAGGCTTTTTTTGCAAAATGAAGATGTCTGTAGATGCAGACCTGTGGGCTGAAATGCCAAGAATTCTCAGAAAATTCTGGGAGATGGAGTAAAAATAAATAAATGGAACATCTCTGCTCCTGATATACTGCTTCCTGGTAGCTAAGCTTATCATAAAACAAGTAAATAACCACCATATTGGCTATCCTTCCATAATGCATCCAGTTTCTGTTGCCTGAGGTAGGTGCCATACTCTACCCAATGATAAGCCAATGCCAGACTTTTTAAATACATTAATACAAGACAGTACAGTGGTGCCTCGCTTGACGACGTTAATTCATTCCAGTGAAATCGCTGTAGAGCGAAAACGTTGTCAAGCGAAATAAAAAAGCCCATTGAAATGCATTGAAAACGGTTCAATGTGTTCCAATGGGCTGAATACCTGCTCGTCCAGCGAAGATCCTCCATACAGCGGCCATTTTCGGGGGCCTGTTAAGCGAAAAATGCCTCCTAAAAACAGCGGGGAGCCATTTTGAGCAGCCGGCAGCCATTTTGAAAACCCAACAATCAGCTGTTTTGATCGTCATAATGCGAAGAATCAGTTCCCAAAGCAGGGAACTGATCGTCGCAAAGCAAAAAAACCCCATTAAAACATTGTTTTGCGATCGCAATTGCAGAATCGTCATTATACAGGGTAATCGTTAAACAGGGCACGACTGTACTGCATAAATAGAAAAAAAATCATCATGGCTTCTGCTACCCATGGGATATATTCCAGGTATTCCTTACTTCTGGACTGGAAGCGTCATTAGGTCTCTGTCAAGGAAAAGTCTGAGGAGGAAATCATGGACATCTTCCAGAGTCTCTGGTCCTCCCATGTTCAACATCAAGATGCCTGTTTTGGGCTTCCTGTGGATATGAGAAAGAGAACACAAGTTTAAATGTTTTAGTACATTATTTTTCGATTCCCAGGGAAGTAGCCACATTAGTGTTGCAGCAAAAACCTTAACAGACTAACAAGTCTTACTTAGCACAAGATGTTGCAGTCAGCTCCTTCAGAGGCGCAGACCACAGGCTTGGCAGGCAAACTGGATGGAGGTTCCTGTTCTATGTTCCAGTTTTGACTCTTAACCAGGTTTGCAATAAGCCCACATAAGTCGTGAGCACCATTTTCCTTATCAGCCCAACAGAACACTAGTAGCCAGGGGATGTTGCCCGTGACACAGACAAAGGCCTCTCTTCTGAGGCCAGCTCATAAATTCACGTAAAGTACCGTATTTTTCGCACCATAAGATGCACTTTTTTCCCACAAAACGGGGGGGGGGTGGAAAGTCTGTGCGTCTTATGGAGCGAAAAATACAGTAGATTAAACAGGCTGCTAGGCTCTGAACAGACCAGGATGAAGTCCTGCCGAAGACGCTGGAGGAAGCGAAGTGAATCTGAGCAGCGCAGGCAAAGAAAGGAGACTACGTGGGGCTGCCTTTGAAGACGGTCCGGCGACTGCAACTGGTCCAGAATCGAGCTGGGCGGCTGGTGAGTGGTGGAGCTGCTAGAGACCACATCAAGCCGATTCTGTTTAATTTACATTGGTTACCAGTTGCTGCCCGGGCCCAATTCAAAATGCTTGTTTTGACATATAAAGCCCTAAACGGCTTGGGCCCTGGATACCTGAAGGACCGCCTCCTTCCATATGAACCTACCCAGCAGTTAAGATCTAACCAGGGGACCCTTTCGAAAGAGCCATCCCTTAAGGAGATAAGAGGGATGGCTTGTAGACAAAGGGCCTTCTCAGCAGCTGCCCCCAGACTATGGAATGCCATCCCAATTGAGATTCGTCTGGCACTGACATTTCAGCGCCAGGTAAAAACCTTCCTGTTTCAAATGGCTTTTAACTGAAATAATATCAGCTGTAGGTCTGATGGCAATTTTTAGAATATATATTTTAATTGCATTTTAATTATTTTGCCCTTTTATTTTGCCTTTTTATTGTATTTTAAATGCTGTAAGCCGCCCAGAGACCTTCGGGTAGTGTGGGCGGCATATAAGTTAAATAAATAAATAAATAAATACATAAATAAATAATTCATCCTGATCTCACCTGCATAGATTGGATTTCTTGGTCATCCATGGAGAACAAGCATGCCACTAAATAATAAAAGTTTAAGTTACAGCTATAGATAGAACTTCCATCAATTCTTACACACAGTGCTATCCCACCTTTTTTCAGGTTGAACCTGAGGCTTTGTCTTCTTCACCTCGACCGCCGCCGCTGCTGTTGACTGACATCTCCACGGCAACTGGGCTCTCAGCTGACCACAGGTGTTGCTTCTTGCAACTGTACAGAGCAAAGAAAAACACAACAAACAACAGGTTCTGTATTACCAAACTGGGAACTTTCTTTAATTTCTGAAAATAAATATTTTATTTATAGGGAAATACACAAGAAGTTGCATTATACTACCATGATTGATGCAGTTGAGCGCCGTACTGCCTACATGACTGGTCTGAGGAGCGTGCAGCCCTTAAGATCCAGCTGGATTACAACTCCCATCAGCCCTCACTACTGACCATGCCAGCTGGGGCTGATGGGAACTGATGTCCAAGGGCATCTGGCAGCACACATTCCTTTGGTCTACCATGGCTTAAATCTGAAATGTTCTGTGTGCAGAACACAAACAATACCCCCTCAGCTATAGCACTTCCATTAAAAACTGGTAAGTATATTGCTTCAATTTTAATCAGAACATAAACACAACAGAAAATCATATTCCTAATTTATTTTTTAGAACAAACAGTTGATATTCCATAGCTCATTCAACAACCTGACAAGGAACCTGCAATCGTGAACTTTATTTTTTAAAAAAAAACCTGAAAGCATAATAAACAGTTACACTGTTGTTATGCTTACTTTAATTTTACTTAAAATAACGGATTTAGACTGATTCCTCTGTAATCTGTTCCTTAGAGAAGGTGCTGCTTTATATTACACGATTGTTTTAACTTTTTGCATGTGAACCCTGCAGGATGCCTAGCTTCTTTTTAAGAAAAAGCATTTTAAAAAATGGGATGATGATACATATTGGTATTACCCGAGCATCACAAGAAGTTAGCACTTTACAGATTTTAGAATACTTTGTACTTTACAGATTACAGCAATGCTTTTCACATGAAAAGTTATAGATAGTTCTAAAAGAAAGGGCTGTGCCACAACCCTTATTTATTCTACTGTGTAACCTACACTATGGACAAGAGGCTACTATTCGGACATAATGTGGAGGCACAGAATGGTTTCTAGTTGGAAAAAGGTATCAGGCAAGTGTGCTATTTATCATCCAATTTATGTGCAGAACCTACTCAAAAAGCAGACTTAGGCTCAGCGAAAGGATGAGAGAAAACTGGTGGGAGAAACATCAATAATGTAAGATATTCAGATGGTATAGAAAACAGCACTGAATTAAATCATTACTAATAAAGGGGAAACAAAATTACAGTTGAACATTGCTTACAGAAAAGAAAAAGAACCACAGACGAACTGTAAAAAACAAAACAAAAATCGGTTGTTGTGGGTTTTTCGGGCTCACGTTGCTACACAGTACCTTGATTTGAGCCCAAATCTAAATATAGAACACAGCCAAGTAATCTGAAGAAGTTTGAGACTTCAGTTAAGCAATACGGTACTTTAAAGAGACATAAGTCACTGAAGACTAAAGTCAAGATCATCCATACTATAGTATTCTGGATTACTATGCACAATGAAGACTACACAGTAAAGAAAGCTGATGGGGGAAAATTGATTTATTCAAAGTTGGGTGCTGGAGACTTTACGTGGTATGGAATGCCAGAAAAACAAATAAAGTAAGTGAGTTCTACATAAGTGAAGCTGGCTAAATAGCTCAGTGAACACCAAGCCCTAGAGTCAGACACGACTGGACTAAAATGTCAAGGGGAACCTTTACCTAAGGAGTTCAAAGCAATGACAAACCTAGACAGCATCTTAAAAAGCAGAGACATCACCTTGCTGACAAAGGTCCGCAAGGTCAAAGCTATGGTTTTTCCAGTAGCGATGTATGGAAGTGAGAGCTGGACCATAAAGAAGGCTGACCGCCGAAGAATTGATGCTTTTGAATTGTGGTGCTGGAAGAGACTCTTGAGAGTCCCCTGGACTGCAAGGAGAACAAACCTATCCATTCTGAAGGAAATCAACCCTGAGTGCTCACTGGAAGGACAGATCCTGAAGCTGAGGCTCCAATACTTTGGCCACCTCATGATAAGAGAAGACTCCCTGGAAATGACCTTGATGTTAGGAAAGTATGAAGGCAAGAGGAGAAGGGGACGACAGAGGATGAGATGGTTGGACAGTGTCATTGAAGCAACCAACATGGATTTGACCCAACTCTGGGAGGCAGTAGAAGACAGCAGGGCCTGGCATGCTCTGGTCCATGGGGTCATGAAGAGTCGAACACAACTTAACAACAACAACAACGAGTTCAATTCCCCACTATGCTTCCCAAGAGAAGAGTCAGCCTGTGTAGTCTTGGGCAAGCTACAGTCGTAGAAAACTCTAGAATGGGTCACTGCCAAGACAGAACTGACTTGACAGAATACAATTATTACTATTAAATCAAGTCTAGCCTAACTCACTAGAAGCTAAACTGATTAAGCTGGAGGATATTCTGAGAAGATAAGACTTGGTGATAAAGACAATAAATAGCTGGATAATAAGGCCATAACGAAACCGGAAGCCATGACACGAGATAGACTGATTCCATAAAGGAGGCTATGGTCTTTATTTTGCAATACTGTACTTAAGCAGACCAAGATGGAGGTTATTAATCAGATGGTCTAAACTGGCAGGGATCTGAGGGCAAAGAACTGAGGTTTAACATTTTTGTATTCACAGCTCAAGAAAACTCACAAGTACAGTACACCAGTTGAGTAACCATAAGCTGCTATGACTGGGCAGGGTGGACAGGCTTTCTAGAGAGTCACTTGCATGCAAGCTTGAGTCGCAGTCCTAACCAGTAACTTTTTCAGGCTCTGGAAATTACTCCCTGGAAGCAGATCATGTCTGCATTTCTCAACCATAGCCAGATGGGCAATTCTCTCAGCACCGCTGGGGACCCCCTCATTGGCACGCCGGATACAAGCCTTGGAGTGACGGTGCTTAACTTCTTTATGGAAAGTCTCGCCCGCAACAAACACGTTGTATAACAAGGTCCCGGCGATTGCAACAGGAACAACCACCGGCCGCAAACAAGCGTGTAACGTGAACTAGCAGGTCTACTCTGGTCGGTCGGAGGGGGCGTGGAGGAGCAAAACCCCTCGATTTACTCACCCCTAGCCTTGGCGGCTTGGATCTACGAAAGGGGGGCTGAAAAACGTTTTTAAAGCAGACATGTGCTACCCTGTTATTAAAAGCCCCCCACCCTCAAAGGCGACTTGATCCCGCAAGGGGGGGGGAGTTGTGCAGAATAATCATATTTGCAAAGGCAGCTTCCGTGTTTCCTGGCATCCATACCAAAAAAAATGCTTACATAAGTGAAGCCGGGCAGATGCGTTTGGAAACTGCAGTTTGCATAACTCCGTTTCTTCTCCCTGCACCCCACAAAATATGCCTCCACTACCACCACCACCACCCTCCCACAACAACTAGAAAGGGCATCTCCCACCACGACGTACACGAGGCTGGAAGGGGTGGGAGAGAAAGCGGAGCCAAACCGGATTGCACCCCAGCCTCCGTTACACCCGACGGGCAAGGAGGGAGCAAGCCAGCCAGCCCAGCGTTTTAAGAGGGGGCTCCATCCTGCCCAGAAGAAAAAAAACAAGACGCCCTCCCCGCCAGAGAGTTCGTTGCACAGCCAGGCTGTTTGCAAAGACGCCGCCGCCGACTCACTTACATGGGTGCCAGGCTCGGCTGGCAGCTCGGAAGGCAGCCGCCATGTTGGTGCAAACTAAATGCATTCCCTCACTCGGCCGCAACCCGCGTGGAGGAGTTCCTTGCTCTGGTTCACCCACCCCGCTCGTCGCATCCCTTGCCACGCTTGGGGGTGTGTGTTATTTTTTTTTTTTAACTAACTAATCACTTGCTAGCATCTCCCATCCACACGTTTGCTGGGCTGGGCCAAGCGAAGGAGGGCGGGCCGAGGAGAGAGAGAAAAGGCAAGCCCCGGAGGAAGGGAAGCAGGGGAAACGCCTCTTTCTCGTTTCTGACAAAAGGCAGGCGAGTCACGTGTGAATGGTGGGACCCAGGTGGCCGAAGGACTCGCCTGCTACTGAGGGTGGGCGTGTAAAGCTCGCCAGAAAAAGAGGTCAAAAGAGGATGCTGGTTTATGTAAAACTGTACAGTATTTGCTAATGTGTGTGCATATGCAATTTTATATAAACCGGCATCCTCTTTGTATATGTAGCTGGCTGGATAGGCTCAGTGGGTTAGGGATCTGCCTGCACAGCCAGAGGTTGGGAGTTCAGGTCCTCCCGGGAGAAGAGCCAGCCTGGGTAGCCTTGGGCAAGCTGTGCAGTCCCAGGGCACCCCCAGAAGAAGGGAACAGTAAGCCACTTCTGAGCATCCTCTACCTGGAAAACCCTGGAAATGGTCGCGGTAACTCTGAATTGACTTGACACGATTATTGTCAATACCTATGTACAGAAATAAAAGGAGAAAATATAATTGAAATAAAATCAATGCATTTAACCCCAGTGGGGAAGATTATGACCTTTGCGAATCTGTTGTTACACCTCTGACTGGTGGCAACCCTATAAAAGAGTTTTCGAAGTCATAACCACAGCCACATTTACAAAACAAGCTTCATGGGTAGCTATAGGGGAACACCTTTCATAAATCAACCTGTGGTGATTCACACAAGTTATAAAACATGAGTCTAAGTCCAATACTAGGCTGCCTCACAAAAGTAATGCCCAAGCTTTTGAGTTTTCCGAGACTCTTCATCATGCTGAACTGTTGAGTTGGAAAGAAAAATAAAATGCTTCAAAGCCTAATGGAGAGAGAGAGAAAGAGAGAGAGTTTAATCAACTAAAATAAATGAATGAATCTTTAGTCTTGTGCTGTGAGCTATGCTTGTTATAATGGAGGATGTACATAATGTGTATATAACCATGCACATGTATACGTATATAACAGACACATACGTGGAGATTCCCATGTTTTTGGACTCTCCATAGAATAGTGGTTATAGTGTTACAATGAGCAGCTCTCTGTTTTTATTATGACAGTTATGGTGAAATGTCATGTTTATTATCTACTGAATTTTGTTAGTTTTGTGGCACTTTTTTGACAGAAAAGTGGAGAATAAATGCAGCAGTGAGATAGGTCTCAGGATGGACTCCCAGAAGTAGGCACTCAGATCTTTTCTCAGTATTGTTGGTTTTTATCCTTTGGCGCCAGTGCAAGTTTTTCCCTTAAGGCAAACAACAGTGTGCACACGAGTGTATTGGCAGTTTCCCCTCCACACATGCTGTGATCTGAACTCAAATTAAGTAATCCACTTTAAAAAAACAACAACCTCAGGGCACACAACCTTAGGTTCGCCTTGATATTTGTGCCAAGCTTCAGACGTTTAGGTTTCACGGTCATGGAGCCGTAAAGGAAACAAGCACACATGCAGGGACACACACTTTGTTGTTGTTATTGGTCCTCTGGGTGTGAGTGTTTACTTACACAATAAGAATGAGAAAGAATTATATCCCACCAATATGGTCAGAAATTGGGAGGGGAGGGGAGGGAAGCCAGGTTCTAAGAATTTTACTTAAAAATGGCATAATGTTGATCTGAAACTAGTCAGTATAGGAGAGAGACAGTTGAGGATGGTTCGTGCCAATTTCAAGGAACAAAGGACAAGGAATTGCTGTTCCTACTGATTTATTTGCTTTTCAACTTCTTTATTTAGTACTCAAATGTGTAAAGTAAAGGTTCCCCTTGACATTTAATCCAGCCGTGTCCGACTCTAAGGCGCGGTGCTCATCCCAGTCTCCAAGCCGTAGAGCCAGCGTTTTGTCTGAAGACAATCTTCTGTGGTCACGTGGCCAGCGTGACTAGACGCAGAACGCTATGACCTTCCCACCATGGTGGTACCTATTTATCTACTTGCATTTTTACATGCTTTCGAACTGCTAGGTTCGCAGGAGCTGGGACAAGCGATGGGAGCTCACTCCGTCGCGGATCTTACCACAAGCGATGGGAGCTCACTCTGTCGCGGATCTTACCACTGCTGCTCTTCTTACCTTGCAGCACAGAGGCTTCTGCGGTTTAATCCACAGCGCCACCAAGTCGCAATCAAATATACAAAGTAATCAAATATACAATGTTGCAAAAAGCACTTGATTAAACACCCATATCGAGAGCAGGGGTTGGAAGGAAGGAGGATGGAGGAGTATTCAGGTAGAGAGGAAAATGAGGAAAGATGCAAGAATTACCAAACATATACCATCAGAGGGAGGTCCCACAGTGATGTGATGCCATGGGGGTAAATCATTATGGTGTCACATCGAAAGTTCAAGAGGGGAGATAATGCAACATACTTTCTCAATAGAGCTAGTGAGGTTTGTGAATGTTTGTACAGAAGAGCGCCCAGGCTTTAAACAAACCTTACGCACAAAGATCGCTCTTTTGCATTGTGCTGCTTACCCTGACTGAAAACCTGGAGAATTACTTCAGCCAACACCCTGAGACCGGGCGACCCCGGATTCAATGCTTGGTGTTAGCAGCTGAATTTGGACTGCTGTGCTATAATGTTGATCACAAAGCTGATGCCAAATGGCACGGGGTTTTTTTTCTGTATGCATCTCAGGATTCCACCTGCTAATGTGATACATTTTATGCAGTAAGAGCCTACCATTGCAGGCAGCTGGGTTTTTTCCCCAAATGCTGGAAAAGCACACATGTGTGGAGTTTAGGCCACAGGGCACGTGCTAATCAATCCTGTCAGGTCATGGTTGAGGGGCCACTATATACGGAGAACATGCTTATATTCCAGGGTAGTAGGCAAGGGTAAATGTGGTGTTTGCATCAGGTCAGTAAACACATCATCCCCTACAGTTCTATTGTGTGCACCAACCCAGAAACACTAACTACTAACGCATGAGCTGATGTGCTTTTGAAGGACGGTAGGACAATCTTTTTTTCAGGTAGTCACGGAAGCAGCTCTGCCTCATGAGACAAAGTGAAGTACTGTACTCAGGTGACAACTGAGGGATGATAGAGAGAACCTTTAGCAAAATGTAAATGCAAATCTTTTTTTTAAAACTGTATTTGAGGACAAGAAACAGCCTTCCCACCCAGAACCTCAACAAAACGCCCTCCTTGTCTGCAAGCGGGTGACAATTTTTTTGGTTGATGATTTTTGCATCTGAAATAATGGTGTGTGCTAATAAAGCAACACGAACTGCACAAAGCTAGAATGGCTGCAGCTTTGTTTCATGGCGTTTTGAGGGTCTTTTTGAACAATCACTAAGTCCTCCTCTGCTTGTCATATGCTCCTGTTGTAATTCTAAAAGGGACTAGATGCTAGTTTTTCACAGAGACATTTCTAGCAAAATGTTAAGGCCGTGACATTTTTTAAAAAGCCCTTTATCATGCTCTCTTGCCAAAGTCAAGGAATCTTGCAGGACTTGAGAATTCCTTGTAGATAGATCTTATCAAGACAGCTTTAATTGATGAAAAAAACAAAGAATTTAGTAAGTATTTTCCACATTCCTAAATCTGATCCACAGGGCTAATTTTGTTGTGAGGAAGTTCTGCGATGCAAGACCTGTAAAATTAAGCAGGAAGAGAGTCACTCAGGGTACAGCTACACTGGTGAAATGATTTGGAAGCTGGATCAGGGGGGTTGATGCTGATTTAAAGTCACATGGTTTTTGTGTCAGCGTGTGTGTCCTCTTGGGACACCTTTTAATCCAGTTGTAAGCTGTGCAGTATATCACTCTAGGGAAATGTACAGGCTTTAAAATCATTGCATTTCCAGTGAATATGCAACTTGGTGCCGCAGATCCCTATTTTTCCAGGTCTCGTGTCATGCCCAAAAGCAATGTTATTCTTCTGTGTTGTGTTTTGTCCTTGCATACAGAATCATTTACTGCTGCTGTAAATCATAATTTCATTATATTTAATTATTTTTAATATTTACTATTATATTTTTAAATGTATTTCAAAGTGGCATAGCACTAGATGCATGTTACAGATCGTTGTATTTTAAAATGTCTTGCCAGATATTTTTCAGCACCTCATCAGAAAGGGAGGCATATCAGTTATAATTTGGAACCTTAAGGAACTGGTGGGGTACAAGAAGATAAAACACCAGCGAGGCAACTGGCAGCAATTTCCAGTGCTTAAGCGACACAGTGCTAAAATAGAAACAGATAGAAAATAAATGTGAGAGTTCTGAAACCCCGTGATCCTGGCAGCCAATATTTAGCACACTCTGCAGACACAATTACTTCAGCACAGGTGATCACACATGACAAAACAATTTTTAAAAGTCTATCAGAATCAATTCAAATTTGGTGTGTGTTTTTTAAAAAACCACTTTCCAGCCGAAAAATGTGTGCTTAGCTGTATGTAAAAGGCGATGCAGATTTGGGTGAGCACTTCAATTGGTAAGAAGCAGCACCAGCTTGTACTTTTGCATCTGTCAGTTATGCATTAATTTGTTTTAATGCCTATATAAAACTCCTTTAGTCCAAGTCAGACAACCTATTTTGTAGGCAAGTAAAATTGTATTTTATAAACAATTCATAATTGGTCCTTTGTGGAGGAGTGAACTTGGACTGTGGTCCTGGGGGACTCCTTTTGGACACCCTGGCTGCTGGCCTGCAGGTCCCTCACGGTTCAATTTTTGTTATTTAACATCTATGTGAAACTGCTGGGAGAGATTGTCCGGAGTTTTGAGGTTTGGTGTCACCAGTCTGCAGATGACACCCAACTCTATCTCTCCTTGCCATCTAAATCCGAGGATGCTATTCCGGGTGTAGATCTGCGTCTAATGTCAGTAATGGACATTAGTAATGGGTGAATACACTGAAACTTAATCTAGACAAGACAGAGGTGCTCCTGCGCAGTCGAAAGGCAGATCAAAGAACAGGAATGCAAACTGTACTGGATGGAGTT